AACCCTGTTCAATTTTACGCTTTTCGTTGTAACGGGCTAATGATGCGTTGCCGAAAACATATATTTGCCAAATACACTTTTATAGTTAAATCTGGAAGTGTTTTTGAAAAATTATGTTTACCTGGTCAATGCCCCTGAAACTGCCATTTCAGTCAACCTGATCTTTGAGAGCAAGGTTCATCCACCGGCATTTTGAGCCTCTCTGCAGCTGCTGGCGTGGTTTGAGAGCAAGCTCCAATGCCGAAGGGGCATACTAGGTACCATTAGCGATCAGTGAGCGTCCACTACCGAAAAACAATACTCTCTATTAACTATTTTCACGAGAAACCCAGCCTTTCGTCCGATTGATGCACGAAAACCAATCTAAAAAAGCCATTAACCATCAATACTATAATTTTGAGGCAAGTGCTCAGAACGTGCATCGGAGGCCAAACCCGATTTCAAAAAAAAGCGCATGGATTGCCAATACAAGCGAACATGCGTGTCTTCTCAAAACGCATAGAATTAATAACCAAAAGATATCTGGCAGTAAGACCCGTAAAATCAACACATCAAAAACACACAATTAAGAAAGGTGATCTCAGCAGTGATAGGGTTCTATAGCAAGTTGTAAACCACTTCTGGAAGTGCAGTTGCATTGAAGCAGAATGTGTTCGATCTCATTGGTCTTTGTTTTATGTTGATTTTAAGAAGTTTTAAATGAAAAGTGAATTTTTTATACTGGAGAAAAATGGGATGTGCGTTTAAGCAGATTATGTGAAGGAAATTGCTGGGTGGAAAAGAGGGATTTCGCGTGTGCCCGCACGTGACATTCGATTGTATGTACACTGGCCTCTAGACACCATGTTTTCAACATCCTGAGAATGCGTGTGTGTGCGTGTGTGTTTAGTGATGAAAGTGGTCATGCGCATACAGACGACAACGAAACTATTTGGCCGAGCGCTGCGAAGTCAACACCGATGCAGTGTAAAGAGCCACTCCAACGCAGGCTTCTATGGACTCCGTGTTGGGAAGGCATTCGAGAGACTGGTATTCCTTCTTCAGCTGTTGCAGCAGTACAGGATTCCTTTTCAGAGCGCCACCCATGCAGCAGAGTTGTTTTATATTAGAGGATACGAGCAGCTGCATTTTGAAACAGAAAAAAATAAGCCAAAATTTAGGCAAGATATTTCAAGTAGCTGAATGAGGTAGTTCATTGTAGAGCACTTTTAGCACATAAATAAAATTCAATTCTGCCTTGAAATTTAGATGGCAAGGACGTCATACCTTACTCCAGGCATAGATACAAGCAGAAAGCCCAGAAAGGTGCTTCGTTGATGCTTTTTCTACTGCATGCCACAACAACAAGTAGTTTGGATCATCAGTGGGTCCTTCAGCGTTCTTTTACTTTCATAACTTTAAATACTAATTGCTTGTGTTATAGACATTGCGTAGTTATTCCACAGTAGTTGATTGTCTGCGATACAAATGATCATTTAAATTTCGGGTCAGGCCCTAACATGGAATATCCCGAGCACTTTACTTCCTATAATAGACCTAATAATTGTGGAAATAACTTGTTAATGAAACATGACTCAAGTAATCCTCAGCTCGCACGATTATCACCTTTTGCAAGATTTTTGGTCTCATCAAAGGTGTGTACAGGCCAGAGTCATCCATAAGGCGTCAGATAACGAAACCGAATGAACCATTGCCACAGTGAGAAATAGCTGGAGCCGTCTATAGGGTCTGGTGCAGTTGCGGAAAAGACAATTACGTCGGAGAAACTGACAGACTTCTCAAGACGCGAATTTCCGAAACACGCGGTAGAAGCGCGCCGAAATGAGGCCAATTCTCAAGTTGTGGCTCATTCGACGAGACTCGGCCACACCTTCAACTTTGATGAGGCCGAAGTTCTAGCGAGACGTGACCATCCTGTGAGCCGACAATTACTTGAGTCATGGTTCACGGACCCCCAGTCCATAAACCAGTGCAATGACGTGCACAATCCATATACGGTACTGAGGCTCAATTTGGCCAAATCAAGTGGCCACTTGGGGAACTCCCAGGGCACCACGTCTTCTTAGGCCAACGCCATGGAACCAGATGGCCAAGCAATCATTCCATCCAATTCCACCACGCGTGATGCAAGTTTAGCAGGTCACGCCCGGCATACCGGTCATCAAGCAATCCATGCACAAGATTGCAATTATCGCTAACTGTCGTTACTTGTTATACGTGAGCAGCAGTGACTGTGTTCTATATACACTGCAACTTCCCGTGCATGTATCACCCATATCTGCTACTAGTTCCTGCTGATGTCTCTGATGAAGAATACGCGACGGATATAGAAACTTCAGTCGAACAAACGTCTTGTCCCAGTCAGCACATCTTCTCAATTAATTCCCGGGACTCGCATGTTCGCTTTTATCGGCAATTAATGTCGATTCTACAAACACAAAACAGCAGCTGAGTTTGAAGCTCAGAAGCATGGTTCGGTGAGGATTCCTCTGCTGCGCGACGCAATATGACTAGGTCCTTAAGAACCAAATACCGTGAATAAAAACAACTGAGGAGTTCGTCGATTGACGTGGAGGCGTGCTGACATGAATGCAAGTAGACTACTACATGACCTCTTGTAGTAAAAGTAGACTTTTACTACAAGTAATAAAAGTACCCAAAGGGAATACAGGTAAGGCCAGTCCGCCAGTTGGCAAACATAGGGATACCACAGGTAGTCAGCAACACACGGGCTGGTCGAAACTCGTGCTCCCATCACGGCTATAATACGAGGCAAGCGGTAATTCTGACTAGTTTAATACCACTAGTAGCGGCAACCATTATGCTCTAGTGGTGAAAAAAATTATTTGGTCCATATACTCGTTCTCTATCATTCGTCATCCTATTCAGGAAAACACAAACGTAATAAGATATCTAGATCTCGAAATTTTTACGGATATCGATACATATATAAGTAGTTGTGGTGCGACAACTTTTTGGAAGACATCATCAGCACTATTAGCCCGTTAATTAAAAGGATTATCATTATTTTTCGACGAACCAAATAAAAAGCGGCCATTCTTTACTAAGAAATTAAACTTACTGCGCGAAAATAATGAATAACAGGAACCACGGGCCAAGCAGATGATGCATATAATCCGACAAATATATGGTCTTTGTCGGCAGAAGTGAATATAATATTCTACGGAGGGCAGTGAAGCTGAATCACAGCTTAAATTGCATCCATTCTTTGCTAGCAAAAGGACTGCCAAATAAGGTCCGTTAAGCGTGAATGCAGGAAAGAGCATTGTTGTTGCACGCCCTGTCTGAAATACGGATGTCCCCATAAATACACCCTTCGCCGAAGCCGACTCAGTGTGTTACCTCAACACCACGGAAACGATGGATTCACAATACTATGTCACTAGCACGCAAATGATTAATTCAGGCAAACCTCCTTATAGTCCTGCCTCCAGAAAAAGAAGATGCAATCACCGGAACAAGGGTTTTATTTTCCTGACGTTTCGGATTCCCTCGGGAATCCTTAA